GTTCATCATTTAAACCAAAATAGAACAAGAAAACTACTTAACAATTATGAAAAACAGTGAACTTCGCAAATCCTTAACAAAATTTAGACTTGGCAACCACTGTCTGAAAATTGAAACAGGCCGGCATACAGGATTGGATTTTAAAGACAGAGTCTGCAATATGTGCGACAATGACCATGTTGAAGATGAACAACATTTTGTCACAAATTGTCCTCATTACAATGAAATAAGATCAAAACTTTACATTGTAGCTAATAAACGTATACCAAATTTTGACAAATTTAGTAATGAAAATAAATTCATATCATTACTAAGTGACGAGAAAATGTCAATTCCTTTAGCGCAATATTTAAAAAACTGTTTTAATACAAGACAGCAGCACCTACATAAACTAAGCCAGTAATACATTCCTTGTATTCAACTTATTATCTTTTTTTTTTTTTTATGCCTTTTTGTTCCCTTACTCTTTATGTGGTTATTTTTCTTTTACTAATATCTGATTTGTAACCCTTTTCATCCCCTCCGAGGGATGTTGTGTGTTAATAAATAAATAAATAAATAAACATATGTTGAAGTTAACACAGACAATATTGACCATGGTCAACCATACACCTCACAAATACAGATTAATGCACAACGATGAATAAAAAATGGGCAATATTAGTATTACCGTCAACCAGACCACTTTTTTCAGGGACTTTTTTAGTGCTGTGGTCTGAGCCCAGACATGCCGCCACAGATTATACTATATCAACATCTCAAAACACCGGCAAAACAATGAACTTTAACGATCTGTAAGTTGACAAATATTACGGTACCTCGTTGTGCTTGGTTTCTGATTCGGCCATAGTTCAATAAAAACATAAAACGATCATCTGCAATAGAAATGTTATATTACGATGTTACTACAGCTCCGAATAACAACCAAAAACGATGTTGGAGCATCATCCAGGAACAAGCACGACCCGTTTACTAGCACGCCATTTTTGTTTTTACCTCGTACTCAAGAACTATCAAGTAAAGGCGCAGATTGTATTTTTTAAATCTTAACACTTTTAATTTTAAAAAAGTTCAAAGTATATAAAGTATATTAAAAATTAGTTTGAGATCAATTAATAAGAAAAACATCCGTTTTTATCAATACACGGCGTGTTCATAAGGTACAAATCTGTAAAAGGCTGGCATATTCTATTATTGACAGTGTCGTTTAATGACTATATATTTAATTTTATTTTAAATGATTCCGCAAGTACAAAACAAACAACATACGTAAGATTATAAAGAATTATTCGCCATTCAAGATGTTGGCATCCATCACTATCATTTATCGAACGTTTGAAGATATATAAAACATATTTTGAAATTTGACCCCTCATCAAAGTGGTATCGTCAGTACAACTTCCGGTGTAATTTCGAGAATACTTTCCTGAAGATTGTGTACTTGTGTTGCTCGTTTAGTTGACAAATCTAGGAGAGTGGGCAACCGGACGTTAATATTTTAGAGATTATTAGATATTCGAATACAAAAAACTGGTTAGACAATCGTGAGTCGGTAAGTACCCTGTCTTGTTTTTGTTTTTGTGTTTCTTGGACTGTGTTCGGCATCCAAACCTGTCAACAGCTGCCAACACTCAGTTCACACGTCAGTAATTTTTAGACGGAAGAATCAGTTTCAAATCACATTTACTCTCTTTGTTTGGATTTATCATTCGTCTATAATTTCCCGTTAAACTGGTTGACTAATACGGGGAGTGGAAGTCTCAGATTAAGTTGGAAATCGTCATTCACTTTGAAAATATCGTCCAGTGTTGCGTATCGAAACATTTTTGTCAACTTATCTCAAGTCTCAAAATTGATGATCTGGACAATTTTTCAAATTTAAATATGACGACACATATATGACTATGATAATGTAGAACATTGCATCATATCATAGACCAAAACAGGGATTACATTGAGTCTATTTATTGTATAAATATGAGGAACTGTGATATGGTTTTCTATTGTTTTAAGCTGTAGCAATATTTTGCGATATTCAGTCCACACCATGGAATATTTTTTGGCTGTCCAACTTGAAATCCAAAAATAATGAAAGACTTTCCAATATACCTTTACCCTAACTCTAACCCTAAACCTCCACCCCTCTCCAATTCAGTTGTATATGCCCTCTAGATAACTATAGGTGTTCTCAAGAGGGGCATATACAATTAATTTGAGGCGACAATAGATGGTAGGTGGTCAGGTTAGAGTTAGGCTTGGGGGAAGGGGGTACATTGGAGTCTTTCCAAACAGACTTGTTTACGTTCTGAACATTCTGTGGCAGTAGTATTGACAACCGTACATCTAATATTACCGGGGTAGAGTGACAACAATAATGAATGTTTGTCCAGTACACTGTAGTACACACTGTGCTTTCCGTTATTGTCAGAAATATTAATATTTTTTTCTCTCGCTACATGCTCGAAAAAATACCAATACTGCTTTAGCAATACCACACGTTATTTCTGGAATTAATCACAAAAAACTTCTGAACATTGGATACTGTCTGCAAGAGGATTCTAGGGGAATGTACTATTTATTTGCATCTTCACATTTTTCAATTGTATTTGCTCTATTGGAAGTGTGATTACTTGTTTTACTGCCATGTTAAAAGGTCATTCTTGAATTTGTGTGCTGTCTACACTCAGCTGTGCGTAAATTTCTGGCTTCACTTGCATGCTGTTGCTAAATCAAATATTCTGTAACGTTGTTTTTCCAGAGTTATAACATGGTTAGTCTGAAGCTCAGTCTTGTATTTGGCACTAGAAAACTTGTGATTCCTTTCTGAATAAACTGGCTTGAATGCATAACTGAACCATGATCACATGACTGTGAGCACTGTTCGTAGTGATTATGGGTATATGATAAACTGACATGTCCGTCATTGCCAGTGTGTAAATTTCTGGCTTCACTTGCATGCTGTTGCTAAATCAAATATTCTGTAACGTTGTTTTTCCAGAGTTATAACATGGTTAGTCTGAAGCTCAGTCTTGTATTTGGCACTAGAAAACTTGTGATTCCTTTCTGAATAAACTGGCTTGAATGCATAACTGAACCATGATCACATGACTGTGAGCACTGTTCGTAGTGATTATGGGTATATGATAAACTGACATGTCCGTCATTGCCAGTCGCCAGGCTTTTCATCCGTTTTTTAAATATGTAAAAATGCAAAGAATCACAACTGAAAACTTTCCACTTTGTGGAAATTGTGTATGGTCAGTATTACTGCTACTGTAAAATACTTTATTTTAGCTGGAATTAATTTTCGCTGAAAACACTTTTTGGGTATTTTGTATGGAATTTATTTTTACTGATTTTTGATGAGTTAAATGAAAAATATAGGAAAAAAGGTATTTTCACAGGATTTTATTTTCACTGAATTATCCCTTCAGCGAAAATAGCGAAAATAAAGTATTTTACAGTAGTTTATTGAAATGGGATGGAAATTGTTGTCGATTTTGTCATGTGCTTCGCCCATCTATATTCTGTGGAGTGTTTAACCCCTGGAATTTGAATAGGAAATCTAGAACGCACGGCGGGTAAATTCTGACCCCCTGAAAATGTGTAAAATACCAGTATACACAAATAAAACCGAAAATATCCCTGGAAATCAATAGATAACTGAAAATCAGGGTATTACGTTTTCAGAATTATCGCACTATTGGGTGTTTTTAAAAAACCATGGCTCTTCTTTTTCCCGATAGTTCACACACATCACTAATCACCTAATCTATAAAATTTGTAAACAAACCTCCCAGTTTTACCAGCATTCCAAATGATTGTATGTCACAATTTTTACAGATTATTTATCATGCTGTCATAGATTTTTAATCCGGCACATTTATGAATATATCAACGATATATTAGATATGCCTCTGGAAATATGCTGTAAATCGATAAATAATATAATATTATAGCCAAAATAATGGTTTCAATATTTTTGGATAGATCAATGGCTGGAGGGAAATGTCAAAACAGAATTTGTTATCAATTAGGTTATTTTGGTTTCATCATACGTATTTATTTCATGGGTTCAAAATTAGCATATTCAGTTCATTGCATTGCATTTGGCCAGATATTAAAAACTTGCTTTCTTTATTTACCTGTTCACAGAAACAGCCAATTTCTTGTATTTACCTGTCTCAGCTAAAATCTGTCTGTCTGGGACCGGTGGACAGACCTGAATTTTCACTCCTGTTCTAAATCGAAACCTAACCATGATAAAATTTATTTATGGGGTATCATGGCAAGTGTACATTGGTTGTCTATAGTAACTTACACAGCACAAAGACTTTTAGGTCAAAAGTGGGGTACACCCGGGTCAATTGGATTTGTAGATAAAGCTTAGAATGACAGCTATACATTGTATTCTGGTGGCATCTCTTGTTGTGCTCCACTGCTTCTGCTGTTCCTCTATTCATACACTAATACAAAGCTGGTTGCTCTGATTCAAAGTTTATTGTGGTGCAACTGTGCCAAAAAGAGACAGAATGACAAAGACTTGACTCATGTTCGTTTGAATGTGTTGATAGTCTGGAAACATTATGAATTACATTGAATTAATTTTTTTGACTGATCTGATGAAAGGAAATGAAATTAAAATCTGACTTCACAATGGCAACCTAGACATTACAGTCAAGATTGACATTACATGTTATGACAACTCAAAACAAGTATTATTAAGGTAGCAAGAATGGTGATGTAATGATGTATTAGAATATTGACTTTCAAAACTTTCATTCAGCAATAAATTCTAGGGTCTACGATTCAGCATAGAATTTTCAAATACCTGCGTATAGAAGCAGTTTTCTGTATCTGAATTGCTTGATGCTAATGTGACCCAGTAACAGTTGTACATACAGTAAACTATATATGTACTACAAATACAATGATATTTTGCTGTTTAAAAGTGTGTGTGATTCTGAGAATCATACCTGCTTGGTTTTAAATTCCTTGTTAGTTTATTGGTATGTTATTTGCAGGAAGGATACAATAACTGAGGGGCCCTACATGTATCGTAACATTTATGTTCACAACTTGTGTGGGCATATTGTCTGCAGAAAGCCTTCATGCATAGTTGATATGAATAGTTATGGTTGTCAACAGACGAAGTGTTCAAGTGTCTACTACATGTATATAGCACTATTGACACCTATTTCCATGCACACTTCATATTGCAAGGTATGAATTATCAAATGTGTGCTCTGTTGTTGATAAAAGAATCACAATGATCAATAGACATGATGCACGTTTACAGCATGTGCTTTATTTTGATTTGGTCTGCTCTGTTAGAATTGTTTCAATATGCCACTCATTTGTCATTCTGGGATTCAGGTTTCATTGGTCATGCATACACCTGCAGGCATACATGTATACAGTGTATGTATTGTACATTAGTAAATCAAGATAAATCATGTACTGTATTTGTGCAGAGAAGCATATCCTGACATGAGACATGGGTCGAAATTAAAGTGCCTGCGAAATGCCTGCTATTTTATTGGTACATCAATATTATTATAATTTTATTATGTGGAAAAATGTGTTTCAAACTCAATCTACGCTAATCTACTCTAATCGCTTCTCTTTTGCATACTAAAATATTCCTGGTGACGTACATGTATGCAGGGGAACATGCTGATCAGTGTACATTGTCGAGACATATTTCTTATGCAATTTTCTTGTCTTTGACAAAATTGCCACTCATGTACTTGTTTCTTGAGAAAGAGTGGACCATAAAGAACACGTATTATCAAGTTCATCATATATGGTTCAGATTGAGTTAGAAATATGTCCCTTCTGGTGTAGCTGGTCACTGCAATCAATGGCTTACAGCAAATCACAGTCACTTGTATCGTGGTGGATGAAGTCTTCATTCAACACCAATCACCAAACAATTCAGAAACTTTTAGATACGAAAATATAAACATTTACCAATGCGCGAGTGCGGCAAAATTTCTTATTTGACCTACGCTTTGGTTTTCACGTCACATCATTGTTACCTCTTACATACACTGTAACACACTATAAGTATATGGTCTCTAAAAAACATTTTTCAGATTCCCAAGACATTTGAAACACTTGCCTGATGTTCTCTCTTTTCTGAAAGCCAATGTGGTGATCATGGCTGGCACAGAATCTGGTTCTTTAAAAATGCTTAGTACTGTGCTAGATTTAGTTTCTCGATACTTGTCTTTAAATCTATGTTGTTATAAATGAGGACGGTTGTTCAACATATCTGTGTTTTATGATGGTATAGGGAGAATGTCCATCCCAACTTTTTTCTCATTGATTTTACAGCTCTTCTTAACTGATGTTGCACCTTCAAATCGTTTGAAAATGCGTAAATTCTCATCGCCAAAAGTATGTTTCAAAAAAAGAGCTGACCTTAAAATATATATCGATAATAGTATTATACATGTAAAAGCATAGTGCTAGAGTATGGCTTCCTCTCATATTTAGGCATTTGGTGGCATACTCTTACTTCGACCAGAGTCAGAAAGCCGAAAACAG